AAGAAGAAAAGAAAAGAAAAAAAGAAAAAAATCTCACTAACCCTAAAAAATAATAAAAAATAAAAATCTGGTAAAATATGAAAAAGAAAATGTATATACATACATACATTCACACATATTTATGTATACATATAAACCAAACTGCAAATACAACTGGAAGAACAAAAAATTTGTCCACAATGGATGAAAGAATTGTCTTCATTGTGGTGGTTGAAACTGACCAAGGATGCATATTTACTACAAATGCCAGACTGCTCTTCCTTCCATTTCTTCCTGGCGTATGGGCATCTTATAACAAAGATTTGGGGATTATTAGCCCTTTTTCCTTTTTCTTAATTGATATACCTAGAACCAAATATGGAGTGGTTGGACTCAATGCTCATTGAAATGACTCTTAGGTTTTCAGTTCATCAGTACAAGGTAGTATGTATGAGAAATACCATCTGTTGGAATATTGTCTAGAAAGACTAGGTCAATGTATGCTTAGGGCAGAGATGAGGCAAAGATCTAAATGGAAAGTTCCCACAGTTGGGATCTATCCATTATTTGTCATATTCTTTGTCATATTCTGGAGATATTAGTAAAAGAAACCAATAAGATCAGGTAGATGGCAATCTATTCTGGTTGTCTCAATCCCAGACACTTCTTGGTAAATTTCACTCAGAAGGTAACCAAGTTTTCTGGGTGGAGTGGGCACAGCAGGTCACACTTCACCACCCAGGACTATGACCTTCCAAGGTTTACAATCCTTGAATGTAATCATGCCTGCCTGTTTGGCTTCCTAAATATCTTCAGCTGATTAAATGAGTCGCCAGACTCCATGGAAAGTAAGTTGCACTCCTCTCTATATCCCTGAACTGAATTCTTCTATGTGCCTGTTTCAACAGCATGTATTCTAGACCTTATGGTAGATATCATCCAATCTTTTCTATTGGCTCCTGTATCAAAGGTGTTCTCCACGTCAAGTGTGACTTCCATGAGTTGGCTTCCCACTTTGGCTCTCTCCTCCCAACTTGCAAAATACTGAGAAATTTTGAATCACCAACTCCTAGTGTAGACTCAGAGTGAGCTAATTTCAGGCTGTCTTTCGGTCCTCTGGGTATCTCCATGCCAATTTTTTCTGCTTTTTAAAACTCTTTTTGTCACACCCCTCCCCTGTGTGGTGTAGACAAAATGTCTTGGCACTGATATACTCTTTCATATCCTCCATTTGAAATATCAGTACTTCTGGGCCTCTCCAAATCTCTGACTGTCCAGTATTGAATTTTAGTGAATTCCCTTAAACATCTACCTCACTGAGAAACAGTATTCCCATTGATTCAATTCAAAGCCATAGAGAAACTGGGAGGTGCAACCTTTATCTACTCTACCATATTTGTCCCTCATGGCTAATATTTTTTGAAAGGAGGAATTTTGAAGTTACTAAACATCAGATGGAACTTACCTGAAAAGGCACAAGCAGCATGTTCTCATAATCACTTTGGGTGCATGGAACAATTGAAAAATAGATGGTTTGACCTCGACTGCATCCAGCTCCTTCTGTATGGTGGATTTCACAAACTTAAACAACAAAACAACAGGCATTTATAATATGTCAGTAATGGACATGTATAGTGGTAAGTACTAGAGGATATGCTCACTATCTTTGAAACCTCTGACTCATTGGGAATATGGATGCTAAATGATCTACTTCATGTACAAAGGGATTGGGGAGAATGAAAACTATCTATGAATAAAGCCAGTACTTAGTTTATGAGAGGAAAAAAAGGATTAACCAAAAGATTTGCACTGTAAATTGAAAACAATGAGAAGGTACTTGTTTAAGGATTTGAACTTTCTTTCCTATTCACTGAAAATGAGAATTCAACCTCATTGTTAGAATTAGAGTTTATCTCTGTAAATCAATGGATTTTATAAAATCTAGGTCCACTTTATGATTTGGTTCCAAGTAGACCATTGCTAGGTATTGTAGGCATGCTGCCTCCACTCATGATTGGAGTGTACAGAGTTAAAGGAGTGTAAAAATTAGGGTATCTATTGTTAGAGTATGATTTGCACTCAGGCCAGATGTTATAGCAGATGAAATTTGGTGAAATTCCAAGTGAAACATAATAGTTGCAAAAACATTTGGTTTTAGGGTTAGAACTTTTAGGCCTGACACTACTGTTACTTTATATTTTGGAGAAGGTTGGTCAATAGGTACATAAGTGTTCTGTTCTGGTGTTCTATGGTACAACAGGGTGTATATTGATAATGATAACATATTATGCATTTCCAGAAATGCTAGAATAAAGAATTTTGATTGTTCTCAGTACAAATAATTAATATTCGAGATAATAGATATCCTTACTCCAAGTTGAACATTACGCAATGTATCCATGCATCAGAATGTCACATAATATCACCAAGTATGTAAATTTATCATGCATCAGTTAAAAAGTGAAAGTAGCCCCTCATGTTCTTACTGGAGTTATTAAAGATAACTCTCTCAAGATACTCAGTATCATGATATAAATATCATAAGTATTCAGCACAAGAGAAGGCACTTAATAATTTTCAAATTAGTAATAAATTATTTCTGATAATAAAAATACAGTGAGCTGTGCATGGTGGCACATGCCTGTAATCCCATCAGATCAAGAGGGTGTGGCAGGAGAATTGCAAGTTCAATGCCAGCCTCAGCAACTTAGTGAGACAATAGGCAACTTATATAGACTCTCTCTCAAAATAAAATATATAAAGGGCCTGGAATGTGGCTCAGTGGTTAAGCACCCTGGCTTCAATCCCTGGTGCAGAACAAACAAATCAACTTTCCCAAAGCAGACCAAAACAAAACAAAACAAAAACAAACAAACAAAACAAAACAATCACCACCCAACAACAACAACAACAACAAAACCTATAGTGACTTAGCACAGGACGCCACAGACAATTTTTTTTCCCCCTGAGCTCCAGTAAATAAATATTTTAGGCCATACAGGCAATGATTTTTATTTCAACTGCTTAATTATGATGCTGTAGCACGAAACAGTCATTCATAATACAAAATCAACTGGGTTTGGCTATGTTTCAATAATATTTTATTTACAAAAACAGGTGTTATTCTGGAAAGAGTTTGCTAATCTCTGGTTAGTGGATGCTGTTGTATCCTACTCACATGTTTTATTCACTTCTCCAGCTTCTGGGAGTGTTGGTGGCTGGTTGTTGTGGCCTCCATTGGGTATTACATTTAGATAAAGAAAATCTCCTGAACCAATGCCAGACCCTTGTCCTTATCCAATAACTGAAGAATTCAAGCATATTAGAATCATGTTTCCTTGCTTCAAGGCAGAGGAATTCTCGTGGGCAATCCTAGGTCCAGTGTTTCTTGCAAGATCTCCTGTGTCCTGTGTTAGAACTGCATTATACTCTGACACTTATTTCTGCCTAATTCCATTTTTTTCCTCACAGATAATGTTTTGAAAGAACACCTCAATAAACCTTCTGCACACAAATCTCAGATTTTCCAGTTTCTAGGAAAGCAGACCTATAATACTTGTAATTGTATGGTAGTAGTCAAATAAATTAATGCTATAATAAGAATCGAGAACTAGATTATCCAATGAATATCCCATAGTGGTGTTAGCTGATGCATGCAGTTGTAATTCAGGTATTAAAATTTTCATTGGTGGTAAACTGGGATGGGTTGGTTATGATCCCAGAATTTCAAAAGTTTTTAAAAAAGGAATAATTGTTAGGACTTTAGAATGTATCTCTAGAGTATGCTGATATTTATAACTCTTGTAAAGTACTACGAATGCATTTAAAAAAGACAATAGAAGGCTAGTAGTGATTGGCTACCAATCTAAAGTGGAATGTGGAAATCAGAAGATGTATATAAAGATCAGAGTATAAGGATACCCTCATCTTCCACAGGTAGAGGGCAGAAAAATCTGAAGTCCAAGTCCCAGGACTCAATTTTTAAAATAATGTCAATAAAACTTGAAGATATGAACCTTTTATTGTTTCTTTGTGAAAGGACCTGGCCTTAATTGAGAAATAGGACTTATTTGGGGATGGTTATACCTGAGTTGAGGCATTTGATCCTTTTTAATCCTTACATTCCCTCCTACTACTTGGCATGAAAAAATATTGACCCCTCCTCCCTGCTAAAATCTAGTGCTACTGTCTGGTTTAAAGATAGTGCAGAGGTTTATGATTGCAAGAAAATGCATAATTTCCCTGTCATAATTTATTACTATTTTCCTCCTACCAGACAATGAAAAGAAAAATATACTCTGCTTGGGAGATGTGCTGTATGCTCAAAGTGCTCAAGTAGCAAGCTAAAACCATCAGCTTGAGAGCACATATGGGGAATAATTTTTTGATTTCAAAATTTTTTTGGTGCAAATATCAATTACACAAAATAGTGGGTTTCATTGTGGCTGATTCCTATATGCACATAACATAATTTGGTTAATTTCTTTTCCAAGTAACACCCCATTAAACTCTATTTTGTCCCCCTGATAATTTTCTTTACTCTGAAAGTATTATTCAATTTTCATGAGATTCTCATTTTTTCCTTTTTTCTATCCAGCTTCCACATATGAGAGAAAACATATGACCTTAAATTTTTTAGTCTGGATTATTTCACTTAACATAATGATCTCACATTCCATCTAGTTTTTGGCAAATGAAAAATTTCATTCTTCTTTATGGCTAAATATAACACTGTTGTGTATAAATATAGCACTGTCTTTATCCCTTAATCTGTTGATGAATACCTGCTCCATAAGTTGGCTCTTGTGATTTGTGTTGCCATAGATATTTGTGTGAATGGATCTCTAGAGTATGATGATATTAAGTCTTTTGGATAAATACTGAATTACTCCTCACTCTTATACCTGGTCATATGGTGGTTCTATTTCTAGTTTTAAGAAATCTCTATTCTGATTTCCATAGTGACCATAGTAATTTACATTCTTACAGAGTTCAAATATCAGAGTTCCAATCCCCCAGCATCTTCACCAGTATTTATTGTAATTTTTCTTAATACGACTCTGTTGTATAATTCTAAATCAGATATTGTAATATATCCAGTGATATATCTTTTTTTGTTAAAAATTGTTTTGGCTATTATGGGTCTTCTGTCTTTCCATTTGAATTCTAGGACTCCTTTTCTTTTTCTTTTTTTAGATCTGTGAAGACTGTCATTGATATGTTGATGGGTATTGCATTGAATGTGTAGATCATGTTGGGTCATATGGTGATTTTATCAATATTAACTCTCCCTATGAAAGAAAAGATTCTAAGATTAAGGTGGTCAGCTAGATATTAGATAGAAACACTGCACCTGATAGAAAAAAAATGTAGGCACAACACTCCATGTTGTCTTAGGAACAGACTTCTTTAACAAAATTCCTAAAGTACAAGAAGTAAAATAAAAAAACAACAGACTGGTTGGTATATAACTAAAAAGCTTATTTCCAGAAGAGAAAACAATCAAGAGTGTGAAGAGAGAGCTTTCATAATGGGAGAAGATCTTTGCTACCCACACTTCAGATAAGAGATTAATTTCTTTTTATATAAAAGAACTCAAAAAGCTTAACAACAATACCACAACCACCACCACTACAATAATCACCTTCATCCAAAACCAGTCAATAAATGGGACAAGAAACTAAAAAGACACATATCAAAAAAAAAAAGAAAGAAATAGGAATGGCCAACAAATACATGAAAAAAGGTTCAATATCTGTAGAAATTAGAGAAATGCATGTTAAAACTACAATGGTATTTCATCTGATTTCAGTCTGAATAGCAATTATCAAGAATACAAAGAACAATAAGTGTTAATGAGGATGTAGGGAAAAGGAAACACTCATACATTGCTGGTGGGACTGCAAAATAGTGCAACCACTCTGGAAAGTGGTATGAAGATTCCTCAAATATTGAAATGGAAACACCAGTTATTCCACTCCTCAGTATATATCCAAAGGATTTAAAATCAGCATACTATAGTGATGCAGCCACATCAATGTTTACAACAGAACAATTCACAATAGGAGACTTATGGAACAAAACTAGATGCCTATCAACAGATGAATGGATAAAGAACCTGTGGCATATATACTATACCCAATGGAATATGAATCAGCTATAAAACGAATGAATTTATGATATTTTCCAGAAAGTCAATGGATATGGAGACTATCATGATAAGGGAAATAAACCAATCCCAAAAGACGAAAGGTTAGATTTTTATCTGTTACATGAATGTTAACACAAAATAAGGTGGGAGGAGGAGAAGAATAGAAGTTCAGTGCATTAGACAAAAAGGAATGAAGGGATTGGAGGGGCATAGAAATAGAAAAGACAGTGGAATGAATCTGGCATTATTTCATATGTTCACATATGTATAGAACACAGTGAAACTCACAATTGTGTACATCTGCAAGACTGAGATCCTAATTAGAAAGAGATAAAAACCATGCTTGTATAAATATACCAAAGTAAATTCTACTGTCTTGCATAACTAAAATAGAACCAATAAAAGAAAAAGAAAAACGATCAAGATGGTCAGAGTATAAACTTGAATAAAGGGGGAGTTTGTTTTTCATATGGAAATAATTGTTCACAGCTTTGAATGACAGCCTGAACAGAATGATAACTACCAATGAGATAGAAGAAGTAATGAAAAGTCTTCAAACAAAGAATAGCCCAGAGTCAGATGGATTCTTATCTGAATTCTACCAGAATTTCAAAGAAGAAATAATGCTAATTGTCTTCAAATTATTCCACAAAATAGAAAGGGATGGAGCACTTCCAAATTTATTCTATAAAGCCACTATCATCCTCATACTACAACCAGATACAGACACATCAAGGAAAGAAAACTACAGGCCAATTACCCTGATGAGCTAAGATGAAAAAATTCTTAATAAAATATTAGCTAATCATATTCAATCATATATACATACCAATTCCAAGTTGATTTTTATGCCAATCTTGCAAGGATGTCTTAACATTCACGAATCAATACATAATTAGCATATACATAACCTCCTGTACAATGTTTCTCAAGATCTCAGGGAGATCAGATCTCAAACAAACAATAGAACTTATTAGATAATTAGATGTGTTTTTTTTTTCAGTCATTTCAGGCACCCAAAGCTGAGAAGGGTTTATATTAAAGATATTTGTTAGAGTGTTACAATTTTTTGTAAACCCTAATGAAGTTCATAGGAGCTCCACAATGTTTTTGAGAAATATTTGTCACAATAAATATTTCCAACTTGACTGAAGGGAACAGAAATAGTATCAAATGAGAAAGGCTCCCAAAAATGCTACACTGATAAGCTAACTTAAAACACCTTTTAGATGAAAATATGTTTATGGATTTTATGAGAGGGAAGAAATTCAGAAGTTGGAGCCAAGGGACAAGAGGTTGTGAGAGCCAAATTGCTTCAATTTTCCAAACCTTTAAACCTACTCGCAAAATTTCTAAACTTTGCCTTTCTTAATTTCATAATTCCTATAGACTCTGTATCTCAAATCTGCTTTTTGAATTCTAAACTTATATCATCAGTATATGTTGGATATATTTCAGACATGTGTTTTGTCTCTTTAGTTTCATGGATTTACAAATACAGGTTCTATGATTAGAGAACAACACATAAGTAGTCTTATCCACATTTGGATCTCACTGAAGTGTTTTGGTTCTGGGGGTCAGGGTGTAGCTCAGTGTTAGAGTGCTCTCCTATCAAGTGTGAAGTCTTTAGTTCAAATGATGGCAATTAAAAAATATTCTGGACTTCAAGAACATGCTATAAAAATAAGACTTTTGGGGAAATTGAGAATGTGTCAATTTATTTAATGAGTCAGAAGGATAGAATAATTTTGTAGCCATAGAATCTATCCTTTGTGTTTTCCTTTATTAAAAATTTCTACTCTAGCGCATTTGCTCTCTTTCAGGGTTAATGTGGGGAAGTCTATTAGTTGTCCCTCCACCAAGCACTTTGTGTGATGCCTGAAGTGCATTTTAGCTTCCTTTTTTCAGTTAACCCCCAATACTTTTTGGTCCATTAAAGCTGTGTTCTCTCAAAAATTCTTTTCACGTGACTTTTCATATCACTCTTTTTGTAATTGTCTCTTAATTTTTGTCCCAAATTAAAATGTAAGTTCCTTAAAGGCATAGAATCTGATTTATTTGCTTATTAATGTATATTAACCTGCTGGCACACAGTAGATGCATAAGTATTTTTAAATGTGTTAATGAGAGTATTTTTTGAATAAGCCACATCAGAATCTGGCTCCCATGAGGAGGGAACTTCAGGGAGAAAAAAAGAAAAAAAGATTTGTCCAAAGATTTTTCACAGAGGTTCAATTTTATTACTCTCTAGTGAGAACAATGTTAAATGTCAAAAGAAATAGGAAAGGAATTTTATATATTTTACTGTCATGTTTATAGTGTGTAGAAGAGTATGTGATTCATTTGTTGCACAATAAATATTTGTTGAATTGATAAATAAATGGATAGAATTAAAAAATAATTTTAATGCTATCTTTTTCATGGTCAATTACTCTTTGTCTTAATAGCTTTCTGATTTTCTTTATAAGGGATTATGATTTATTTAAGTAGGGAGAAATGAATTAGGGTACAATTTGTGTACTTCCATGAATGAATTGCAACATCTATGTCCAAATACCTATACATTTTTTCAAGATCCCCTCTCTACAATGAATCCATGGAGAACCAGGACAGGGATGTAAGAGCTCATTCATCATTCTCATTCAGACCCTTTAGTCACCCCCAGAGACCCAGGAACATAGCCTAGTGTGATTATGAGGTCATGTCATTTCATCCCAGTCCCCCTTCCAGATCACCTCTATGGTCAGGGTCTCTTCAGCATTCTTTTTTCCATTTATGTGTGCAACTCTTCTAAGTTCCTTTACACCCTTTTCTAGCTGATTTCTGACAATCAGCCACCGGAAGGACTCCACCAACTTCCTGATTAAAGAAGACAAGAAAGGTACAGTAAATATTCAACTACTTAATTTTCACACAACCTTGAGATTCATTTGCCTTTCCATTTATACATACTTTATTATTGTGGCTGTGTAATTTCTAACCAAATCTTCCTTTTCCACTGGACTTGTCTTTCACTAAGATCAGAAACATATCTGTCCATTAATATGTGAAAACAATTATAGAGATCAGTGAACAAAGATCAAATGGTATAAATCATCCATTTGCATTCCAATTTTTGATATATAATTTTTATCTATAATTCACATATCATAATGTTTTTGTAGGACCCAAGTCAGTGAACATCATACTCAATGGTGAAAGACTAAAAGATTTTTCTCAGAGATCAGAAATAAAGCAAGCTTGCCCACTTTCACCACTTATTTTCAACATAGAACTAAAAATTATAGATGGATTAATTAGTCAAGAAAAAGAAATAAAATGCATCTATATGAAAAAGGAGAAAGTAAAATTATCTATTTGCAGATGATATGGTCTCCCATGTAAAAACTCCTGAAGATTCCAGAAAATAAGATATTTTAGCTAATGAATAGAAAATGCAGCCAAATAGCATAATACAAAGTCAACATAGAAGGTCAGTTGTATTCGTATACACTAATAATGAACAGTGTGAAAAGATAATTGCAATTGTTGGTTGGTCTTTAAATCATAGTGGCAAAAAAACTGAATAAAATAACATTTATCATTGGTAGGACTGAAAATTGGTAAAATTACTTTAGAAACCAGTTTGGAGATTTTTCAAAAGACTAGGAATGGGACCACCACATAACTCAGCTGTTCCAGACTTAGGAAATTTATGCCAAAACCCCCAAGTCAGTATACTCTAGTGATACATGAATTTCAATGTTTGTAGGAGTGCAATTCACAATAGCCAAGTTAGAAAACCATTGTTAGTGTCCATCAACAGATGAACAGATAAAGAAAATATGGTATATACACACATAGAGTTTTATTCAGCCATAAAGAAGAATGAAATTATGTTATTTGCTGGTAAATAAATGGAACTGAAAAGCATAATGCTAAGTGAAATAAGCCAGACTCAGAAAGCCAAAGATTGAATGTTTTCTTTCATAGGTGAAAGGTAAAGAGAAAAAAAGGGAAAAATAAAAGGTGCTCATGAGAATTGAAGGGAGAACAATATAGCAGAGTAAGACAGGCAAGGATGAGGGATACCAAGAAGAGATGCTGGGCATTGAAATCAACCAAAGTGTGCTATGTGCATGTATAAACAAATCACAATGAGCTCCATGTTTATATATGATCATAATGAACCAATCAAAAAAATAAACATGTAGAAGAGAGACCATAAGGAAGACAATCAGAGGGAGTGAGAAGGCAGGGAAAAGGGAGGTAAGGGAAAATGAGATATAGGAAATTATATTATGTGCGTTTATGAGTATATCACAATAAACTCCACTATTATGTATTATCATACTGCACTCATAAAAGTATAATAAAATGTTTTATTTTTTGTATTACAATTATTTCATGACAATTTTCTGCCTATTATACAAAAATGGTGATGCATAGTGCCAACCACCATTCAAATTGCCATCCTATTTCCTCTCTTGCACCTTGGATGGCACAAAGGGTGTTAATAGGGACCAATATTGGAACCAAAAACATACCCAGTGACATAGCTCTTCTGTTATCACCTAGGCCTCTCTTGTAAATAACATGGAGATTTTTCATACCTGGAAGGCAAGAGGAGGACAAGCAAGGGTACAGACATAGCCAGATGCAGTGTGTGCCAGCTTCTAATGGCAAAAGCCAGTCCTCCAAGGAACATCTGCCCAATACTGTAGGAAGACATCATCAGGACTATTCCTACAGACTTCCTTTTGGATGTTGTCCATTCTGACACTAGAATAAAATATGTACATAATTGTCATTCCAGGCAAAGGGTAATTTCACAGTCAATTCAGGCATGGAGAAAATGAAAGTCTCAAATTATTGACTTACTGAGACAAAAAGCATTTATCATAATAGTCATGACACTCAACCCAGCCCAGAAGCGTAATATGCAGTAAATGAGGAAGGTGGGGGCGAAGGCTGCTGCAGTGTCAGCGATGCCCAGCTGGAGTAAGCACCACAGGTAGACCACCTTCCGCCCAAACCTAAGAAAGATTGGAACAGGTAAGCTTATTTCAGAACAAAAATAATATGTGGAAAACAAGAAAAGATAAAATAACTTGAGATTTAGGGTAAAATTTTTAACAAGTAGGACATTGTACTTGTGATCCAGGGGAATCATAATACTATTCAACAAAGAAAATCACAGATGTAAGCATCCCTGCTAATCTTAGAATGATGCCAGAATGCACAGAAAAGCGCATGGTGTAAGAGGATCTTGATGCCAATTGGAACCATATCAAGAGGAGGAAATAGGGGAGGTCATAACAAATGTTTGTTTTAAAAACATTCATTTAGGAAAGTGTATTTGTGTGTCATGTTCAGAGTGCTGAGGAGTGAAATCAAGAGATCCATAGTTGGATGTTTGCAATCTTTAGGTAAATGCTGAAGGATTCAAAAGGAAGTGTGGGAAAACAATACATCAAAGTTGCAGATAGATGGCATAATCAATACTCTGGACCATGTCAGTGTTCAAAGGCCTTGGGAAATGTGTTTCAGAAGACGACCTGGCAACTGTTACCTTTAGCACAGGAACTGATAGGAGGTCCACAGAGGAGAGGCAGAGAATAAGAAACAGAAGGACATATCACACAAAAAGAACACGGAAATATTTGTGTCATGGAGCTCCAGGGAAGGGTCTCATTCTGGAGTTAACTTGGACAAAGTTCCATGAGCTGATACAAAGTTTTCAGTAATGTTAATTTTTATGGTTTAGATGTGGTGTCTTCCAAAATCTCACATGAGAAACAATGCAAGAAGGTTTGGAGAAGAAATGACCCAATTAAACTAATCAGTGAGTTAATCCATGGTGGGATTAACTGAGTGGTAAATGGAGGCAGGTGGAGTGTGGCTGGAGGAAGTGGTTTATTGGAGTCACAGTTATGATGAATATATTTGCATCTGGTGACAGCAGTCTCTCTCTGCTTCCTGGTTACCATGAGAGATGCTTCCCTCTGCCACACTCTTCCACCATCATATTCTGCCTTGTCTCCAGCTTCAAGGAATGGAGCTGTTTTTCTATGGTCTAAGGACCTCTAAAACGGTGAGCTCTCAGATAAACTTTTCTTCCTCTACAGTTGTTCTGATTGGGTCTTTTACTCCCAGCAGTGAAAAAGCTGACTAGGACATTACTGTCTGGACAAAATTTTAGTTTTGAACATTTTCCCTGTAACTTTTGTTACTTTAGCAGACTAAGTCATTAAAAGTCTTATGAATTATGTTACCTTCTGTAACAAAATGTAGGTTCTTGCCACATACAATTGTGTTACTAAACTTGAATGAGAGAATTCAAGATGGAACTGTATTTTTATGAGCCATGATTGAGCATGAAACAATCCCTGGGAAATTGAGAAATGAAAATAAAATCAGTACAACAAATAAATTCTTGTGATAATGGATACAGAGCTTGAGTGGAAGGGATGAATAGGTAGAAGACAGGATATTTTAAAAGAGATACTCTGTTGGTGGCTACATGGCTTTATACTTTTGCCAAAACCCCTAAAACCATGTAACACCAAGATTGTGTCCTGTTGTAAACCATGGGCTTTAGTCAATACCATATAAATATTGGTCTATCACATATAATAAACTCATTACACTAATGTAGGTTGCTAAGAATATGTGAGGTTGTTTGTGGAAGGGGGTATTGGGAACTCTCTTTACTTTGGACACAATAGTTCTGTAAACCTAAAACTGATGCAAAATTTTAAAGCTTATTGCCAGGCATGGTGGTGACTCAGGAGGCTGAGGTAGAATCACAAGTTTAAGGTCAGCCTCACCTGAGGAAAGCCCTGTTTCAATAGATAGGTGTGGTTTTAGGGATGTTGTGGGAATCAAAGAAACCAACACTGGAAAATAGAATAGGGAAAGTGTTGGGGGCTTATCATGAGAGCTCTGGGTTACTTTGAAACAAAAGACTACATACATGAAAATATAGTAGACCTAAAAGAACTTAGTGTTGAATGATAAATATAATAAAGAGACTAGACAAAAAGATACATCTTATATAGATTTGAAAACTATCATACTAAAAAACATCACATATTTCATAGCATGTAGAAAGAGAAATAGTAAGCATGTGAGACATTTCTCTGTTGTGATGGATGGGAATGGAGATTAACGGGAATTCATGGACATGAATGGGAATACACAAGGAAAAGGATCTTTGCCGAAACCAATAAGAACATTGTAAATGAAAAGAATGACATTATCCTCGAGTAAAAGGAAGAAAGGTATAGATGTATACTGAATTGTACATAATAAATAAATTTGTGTGCATTTTAAATCTGAAGAAGAAAGATGTCATGACTGGAAAACTGTGAGGCAACATGTGAGGCAACAACACCTGTTAAGTTACAGTGAAGTAGAATGGTGCACATGGTGAGTTATTGCTTTAGGCAGGTTTAAACTACTTTGTATCACTGTGCTTACTGATGTTTTTTTCCTATCCTCACTCCTCTAACTATACAAATATTTGTATGATAGCAAATTTCAAGATATTCACAGCCTTGAACTTTTCTATGGCCCAAATGTATGTGTACAACTAGATACCTGAATCTCCATATATATGTCCATTATGGTTTAGATGTGAACAGATGTGAGCTGTTCCCAAAAAGTTGATTTGTGTGAGACAATTCAAGAAAGTTCAAAGGTGAAGTGATTGGATTATGAGAGTATCAACCAATTGGTGCGTAAATCCAGTTGAATGGATTAACTGAGTCGTAACTATAGTTGAGAAGCATGTGGCTAGAAGAGGTAGGTCACTGGTGGTATGCCTTTTTATATTTTGTCTTGATAAGGAGATCTCTCTCTCTCTCTCTCTCTCTCTCTCTCTCTCTCTCTCTCTCTCTCTTTCTCTCTCCAACCTTTTTGTGCCATGTTCCTGGCTAATACTTTCCTCCACCATATTTTTTGACCATGATACTTCAAGGAATAGAGTCAGCCACCTATGCACTGAGACTTCTGAAATTGTGAGCTCCAAGGTAAACATTTATCCTCTAAACTTGCTTTGTTGGCTCTTTTAGTCACAGTACCAAAAAAGCTGACTGAAAAAATGCCAAATAGCTCCCACTCAGCAAGTCCAAAACAGATTTCTTGATTTTCTCCACCAACATTTCTCCACTTCTCTAATTCTCTTCCATCTTCTATAGTGGCATTAAGTCTAGAGTCTAGTCATTTTTTCAGGCCAGAAGTTTATATCCTTTTTGATACTTCCATTTCTCTTACTAGCACCTCTACAATAGTGGAAAATAATCTTAATCTCCAGAAGGTCTTGATGTCTCTACTTCTAAAACATTTCCCAAATCTAGCTCCATCTTTTTATCTCCATGATATCTACTTCCTTTAGACTCCTATCATCTTTACTCTGGGCTACTTCAATAGGCTGACAGATGGTCTTTGTTACCACTCAGTGCAGAAATAAGGCATTTAAAAGGCAAAGTTATAAAATTTCCATTTGTGGGGACAAGTGCATGGAGTACTGCATATATGGCATAAATTAAGGGCATCTGAGTGGCAGGCCACTCCCCTCATGCTAGGCATGTGAGTGGCAGACTGCTTACCCTGTAAGCACAGCTCTGGGTGTGAGGCCATGGGTGTGAGGCCTGTGCTTGCTCCACGGCCCAATCCTCAATTGGTTGCTGTAAGGACAGTTATCAGAAATTGCATTGGTGGCTACCAGTAATCTGCTTAGCTATTGCCCTAGTATAAATACGTGGTAACTGTGCAATAAAATCAGACCTGCTTCCTGCTTGGTCTCTGGAGATCTTGTTTAGTGACTCTACAGCCACACACTCCTCTACCCTGTTTTGTGGACCTCCTTGCTGGACAAGAGAGCCCACACACCCATTAAATGTAAAGGCTGGGAATTGCCACAAGAATAACTTGGATAGAGATACCACTAAATAGGGAATCAGGAAAGAGACTTTTCAGAAGGTAAGGTTTGAATCTGAGAACCTAGAAGTTGGGCTGAACAGTGTACAGGGAAAAACATTATAGGCAGAATAAATAGAAAATGCAAATGCCATGTGGTAGAATCCAGCTAGATGTTCTGAAGACTAGCAGAGAATGGAGAAGTGGGTAGATAAAGTGAGGAAGGGAGGCTGGGGCCATATGACAGAATGGCAAGACTTGATAAGAAACTCAGAGTTTTATTCTATGTATGACAGAAAATCGCTGGCTATTACCTGGGTAAGAAAGGCAGAAAATTTTCAAGCTTGAGAAGACACAGGTCAACATAGTGTGTGGATGAAATATGGATTATTAATGCATGTCAAATGCTAGCTGCAAATGTGAGCTACACATACTCTACAGTGTTCTAAGAAACTGGGTGGTTATTTGTCAGGAATGCAGAGGTCCCTTCATTTGATAGGGGGTTGGACTCGATACTTCTGGTACTAGAAGCAGGGGGAGGTGAGGGGGAATAGAAGAAAGTTGAATTATTGGCACCAAAGCACAAGTGGATGGCAGTAATAAATTCTAAGTTCTACAGCAAAGCAGGCAACTATAGTTCACATAACCTATAGTATATTTTATGAATCACTAGAAGAGAGGAGCTTCAAAGCTGCAAACCAAAATAATCATAAGGAGACAGAAATGCTTATTACCCAGATTTTATTGGTATATAAGGTATACATAAAATGAAATATTACATAGTATTTCATAATACAATTATTATGTATTTATAGACATTTTTAAATGTTTAAGGTGATGGAAATATTAACCACATTGTCGTGATAATTACACACTGTTAGTATGTATTTAATGTATATAAATACACCAAATTAATGTACTCCATAAATATGTGTAATAAAATAATTACTAAAGTAAGTTTCTTTATTGCTTTCCATCATTTACTACTTTAGATCTGAAAGGGCCATCTTACAAATCTCTGTCATGAGTATTGTAGTTCATCTTTTTACAACTGATCTCCTTAGCTGCTACTATTGCCTTCTATCAAATTATACTCCTAATTCAATAGTCACATCCCTACCGTTGTTACATCCCTTATTAAGTATTTAATTTATAAGTATAATTATTTTCATAAGACCACTCTATTTAACCAGTTCTAAATCAATAGAACATCAGTCTCATGAAGAAGTTGTTCTCAGACATTCTCCTGGACACCATTCTCACGAAAGATATCTAAGATCATGAATTTTAATACCATATATTATTCTGTATGCTTTGGTCTTCATGGAACTTGAAATCATGTATTATATAGTCCTGGGTTATGTAATATTGCCCCTGTTATTGCATGTGGCAGTAGTTTGTTCTTTCTTGTGGTTCAATAGAAATTCATATTAATATAATACATTTTTATTCTACTGCTTATGGGTAGTAACCTGAATCTA